TGTGTGTGGAGTGTGTTTGGCAGTGTGAGACAGTAGATTGTGTGTGTGGAGTGTGTCCGGCGGTGTTGCACACTACAATGTGTGGGAGACGTGTGGGTGACTTTGGGACACATCAGAAGGGGGGAAACTGGGGGATTTAGGGGGTGGTGTGGGAGCACACAAAGAGGTCTGGACTAATCAGGAGAGAGAGGGGGTGCTGTGTAGGGGTTTATTGCAGAATGCGCACAGTACGTCTGCTTGACATCTAGTTTTATTATTTTTTTTCCAAAGGCTTCGCTATAGTTTTCTCTTTTTTGTGGATAGGTTTAAAACACTAGTTTTACGGCACATTGCTATAGTTTACTGTTGAAAACGATGGGTTTTACTACACATTGGTATTCGTTACTTTGTTAAATCATGATTTTACAGCACATTGCTTCTCTTTACTTAGTTTCACTGCACTTTGCTACAGTGTACTGTGATTTATGACATATTAATCGTGTACCACAGCAAATTTACAACGGAAATGTGCTGTGACTCACCTTCAGACCTCTGTTTTGCGCTCGGGCTGACTCAAAACCAGAGCTGTGTCCCTTTGTATCTACCATGCTGTCTCCTTTCTGCAGCCTGAGATCACCCGTGGGTGAGACGGGAGCTTTCTGCCCTCCTCCAGCTTTCTCACTCACACTCTTCCTCCACCCACTCTCTCATTCTCTTCTCCTCCCTGGCTCGGTCCCCCAAACACTCCTTTATGAGCAGGACAGATCAATCACTGTAGCATTGTGGGTTCACAGTTAGCAATCATTTCTAATCGTGGCAACCAAGCAATTCGTGTTTGCAGCTTAAAAGGAAAAGCTAAGAGAGAATTAAAAAGGTTTTAGCTGCATCTGATATGTGGTTGCAAGGAAAATAAAGTCATTCATCAACAGAAATATATAAAAAAGGTATTTATCACAAAACAAATATTTATAGGGATCAATTTTGTACTCCATTGCCAGACGTCATTCTGTCACCCACATCTCCCTGCTCTCTCAACCCTGTGTCTTTGTGCTCCCTTTCCTCTCTCTCTCCTTCCCTCTATCTCACTTCAATTCAAAGGTATTTTATCAGCCTAGCTAATAACATCACTGCGGCCAAAGGTATTACACAATTCAACAGTCCATCCGGTCTGAACAGTTTTCCGTCTCTGTCTCGCCCTTCTCTCTCTTCCTCTCAATCCACTGCCTCCCTCCTTTCTTCTGGCCTTTTCTTAATCTCATTCAGAATCCAGTATGAACTCACTGCGGCTTTCTCACTCACGATATGATAGCTTCCTCATCTCCCTCCTCTCCCCCAGCCTCAACCAGGGCAGAATGGGGCCTCCTGAGTTACTCAACCAGTAAAGCAGGTTCGAACCTGGGTCCTGTCACTAGCTGATCGTGACCCAGGTTCTCCAAATCATGCATTAGGGCTCTCAGTGTTATCAGCGAGGAACCCACCTTTCCACCAATCAGCTTTGATCCTCCTGTATGGGGCTGTGCTTCCTGTGACGCGTTAAAAGATGATTGGCTGAAAGGTGGGCACGTGGGAAGAGTCGGTTTACACTTCCTCATTTTCCCCGTGTACGGTCTTGGGATTTATAGCGGCGATTCCAAATTGCTTGAGACAGGATATCAATGCACTTTGAGAGAGCTATGAGACACCTGTCTGCTGGCTGCTCTCCTGTTGATGATCATTAGGACTGGGAAAGTCTGGCCGAGGAATCTGGTCTCTTTCTGTCCACAGAGCTGCCTGGACTTCAACTTTAACTGCCTTGCAGAACTTGAATACCTTTAGCCTGATCTGGGCTTTCGATCAAGCAGTGTGGGACTTTCAGAGCACAAAACTGTTTTTATCTCTCTGGTTCTATTATCAGAGAATTTATAGATTTTGCTTAATATTAGATTTTTTAGCATTTAACAGACTTCATTTAAATATCTATTGGTACAGTGTTTTTTTGTATTATATCTGAACTTTTTTTATCACTCAACAGTAGTTTTAAAGCTCTGAAGCTTCTGCGATACGTTAAGTGCTGTTAAGAGTGTGGTAGGAATGTCAGATTTGTCACTTTTTGTTAATAAAGCTTGGAAGAAGTGAAATGCCTCCCTCTCTTACTCCCTTTCACTGTTTTCCACCATTCTCTGCTCCCCACCCCCACTTTCTCTTCCTCTGCCTGGGGCTGTGCATCTCGCGCACTGATACAGGAAGAGGCTGGCTGACTTCCTGTGACACAGGTAGTGGAGGCGTTCTGCTCATCAGTTCCATTGTCGCGGCAACCGCTGAGGCCGGCGCGGTCACATGACATACTGAAACAAGGCAAGAGGCTGGTGCATCCTGGGTGTTTCAGTTCCTGTGTGCGGTGTTTATAGAACGCACGCACGGGGTATGCCTGCGTCTCTTCTCAGTAGTCAGTCCTCAACGTGGGAAAAAAGGCCTATGTGAAATACTCCTTCAATGATCACAGTTTCGGACAAAATAGTATGTTCCTCTCTTGTTTTCCCTTGCTTTCTGTCTTTGTCACTCTCCCCTGCTCCGTGTTTTCCCTTCTGTGTCCTACTTTTGCTTTCTCATTCTCTTTCTTCATTTCTCCCAAACTCTTCCGAGTTGCTGAGTCTCTTAAACAGTCTTCTCCTCCTGTCTTTTGGATGCTCTTCTGCCTCACTCAAACTCTCACCCTCTCCCGGTCTTCCTGCACGCTTTTTCCCCAAACAATTCAATTCAATTCAAGGTGCTTTATTAGCATGACCGATGGGTACAATCAGTGTTGCCAAAGCAAATAAAAATAATAAATTAACATGGAACAAAACAAAAGTAAAATAAAATCTACAGACATTTACAATAGAGATATGTCATAAAATATTTACATATATTGTAAGCATATTGAGCATTACTGGGAGACAGACTCACTGTTCCTCAGGCTGTGACAGGAGATCACATACTGGGCTGCCAGATCAACTGAGTTCCCTCCTCCCTCTCCCAGTAGGATTGGGGCCCATTTTGATTCTGGCAGGTGTGGGACTCTGGGACTAGATTTCTGAGTTTAGGGAAGAATGTTTCTCTAATCCCAGAGTATCTGTCACAGTACAGAAGAAAGTGCACCTCTGTCTATATTTCTCCCCGCCGGCAGTGGGAGCACAGCCTGTCCTCTCTGGGTATCCAGGTCTGCCTGTGT